ACACCACTGGTCCTATAGGGCTCATCCGCCCTGGATTCCCTGTATTTTCAGTTCCTATCTGTACCAGTGTACCTCCTCTGGTCTAGCCAGACTGTTAACTATTTATGGGAGTAGAAAACCTTGTCTTTCTCCTCAAGGAGCGCCTGGTGATTTCCAACTGTGGACCGTGTGGATTGCAGTGCAACATGTAACCACTATGCCACCAGGGATCCTGTGCTTTCCAGATAGGATCAAACTGACAACAGTAACTCTAAAGCAGTGGTTCTCAACTTTCCTAATGCCGCGACTTTTTCATACAGTTCCTCATGTGTGGTGACCCACCAGCTATAAAATTATTTTTGTTGCTACTTCATCACTGTCATTTTGCTACTGTTATGAATCGGGTGAGCCCTGTGAAAGGGTCGTTGCTGAAATAATAATCAATTTCTCATGCATTCCCAGCACATAAGAAGCTTAGGGGCCAGTGAGTTTATGTTAGCATGAGGAGTGGGAACAAGGGAACAGGACGATGAGAACGGCGATATACCGCCAAAGTCAGTGCACTGTACCTGCGGAAACTATCTGTGTGTTCTACTGTTTATACTCTCAAATGTAAAACAGACTAAAGCACAAACAAGCAAACAAATCCTACTGGGTATTCACATTTATAAAGCAACTTCTTTAAGATGAAAATTTAAAATACATACGAATTATTTAATACAGAGAAGGTGAAAACATCAGTGATATTGTAATATATATAATAAGCTTTATTCTCTCCTGGGCCTATATCACTTCATGATGGTGAGTTTGAACATAAGAAAGTACAAATTATCTCTTTCAAAATATTAGAATACCAGTTGGTTTACCTATTTGTTTAAAATAACCATGGAGAGAGGGGAAAACGGAAGCTCTCTTCTGAGTACAGACCTCAAAACTGACGGGCATGTTCCTCTTCAGAGCAATTTCGAAGACTAAGCTGATCTCGGATTTATTTGCATCCTTGTCATCATCCATCTCTTTTCCAGATTCTCCATTCTAAATCACACACAAAATAAAAAATATAGGGTGGCATTAAATCTTTTATTCTGAAACAAACTTTACACATATTCTACCATCAAGAGGGCCTATCTAAAATGCAGTAGGAAACAACAAAGAGGATTCTCATGCATTCCCAGCACTTCAAACTCTCAGGCTCTTTGTCATTTGGCTTCTTGGTCTTTTTTCCCCTCAAGTAGAAGCATAAAGTTTAGAATTCTTCCTATGAAACCGCACACCAATTTGATGCCCCTTCCTGTGACTCTCTCCCCACACAAATGTGAATGTATCCTATGCTCCTGGATTGAGTTCTCTCCTTTTCCAGAAAGACCTCTATCCCTCCCATACAGGCTACTACACTGGAGTTGTAATGTGATATCTCATCTGCAATGAAGACTAAGTTGCAGAAACCATACAGAGTGTAAACCTGGATGCCGGCGCTCTGTGCCTGACTCAGGCACCCACACACATATTCACTCATTTAATATCAACTTCGTGAGGGTCTCATGAGTATTATTGTAGTTCAAGTTTTAGAGACAAAGAGACAGGCTGTATTTCTGGTGTTAAGTGAAGTCTAGCAGTCTAGAGAGGAGACCAATAACAAGGGAAGAGTTACCATGAAACTCTACAAGAGGAAAAACATCCAAGCCTCCCACCGGTGAAGATATATTTCAAAAGAAGAATAACAAGTTGTGGGAAGGAGAATCGTAGAAAATAAAATACCAAGTGCAGAATCCAATAGAGGTAAATAAACTATATAACAAGCCTGAGCTAGTTCGTATGTAAGACAGTGTGAGACTACTCTGAAAGAAGAGCTTCAATTTCCTCATTTTGTAAAATAAAGAAGGACTGTTAAAGTCAAAAAGTTCCCCTACCCCCTTTAAATTCATTGATTCTAGAGTAACACAATGTAATCCATGTTCCATAAATGTAGTATTAAGTACAAGGCATAAGAATGGTACTTCTCATTCTTCATGCCTTCTAAAATCCTGAGTTTAACCCAAACTCCGAAAGGGAAGGTAATTTTGGCAGCCACAGGAGTCTAGCATTATAGACAGGCAGCCTGAGAAGCAAATGCCAGATCACTGCTCTCATCTCTTCCCATGATATTGTTTCTTTGGTGTATACAATGTTTATTTGTCTTCTCCACGGGCTCCCTGGGGGCAGTGACCACGAGCGGGTCACACGTGCCGGCTCCACACCTGAGGAGACTTGTCGGGAACAGGCTCGTTCTGCAGGGCTTGCAGGGCTTTCAGTGCAGCATTGTGTCTAGCCGCTTGTCGAGTCTTGCCTTCCCCAAAAAACTCATTCTTTCCTACAGTCAGCTGGACATAAAAGATCTTAGGCATTGGGCAATGATACCTAAAATGAGAAAATGAAAACACTGTTAGGTCAATAATACAACTCTATACTCACTAATAAAATTGTTCTGTTTAAAATAACAAACAAAAAATAAATAAATAAATAAAATAACAAACTATATTATGTATATGCTATAACCTCCTCAATAACATTTTAAACTCATGAAAGTATTTATAAAAGATAAACTGCCACTGTGTATAGATAAAAAATACACATTGATTTATTTTTTTTTAAATCACAAATCAACCCAAAACTGAGTAAATTCTGACTCTATGTAGGTCTTCTAAGACTGTAAATCTTTACGGAAGCAGTCAGTCATCTCTCCATTAGACCATTTGGTGGGAACATAAATGGCACCAATTAATTAATAACTGATAACTTCCAATTATTAACTGGTTGTCTCTACCACAGAACACATCGAAAGAGAAGTTCTCAATCAGATTTTGACATACATCAAGCCAAATAGTCAGGAACAAATGGGTGAGGGAGCTGATACAGAGAATAAAACCAGGGCACACATTGAAGGACCAACACAGATGGCTGTGATCTTAGCAGAAGATAGTTGTGATGAGAAAGGGGAGATAGTTTATGGGCTAATTGATAAGCAGTGGAGGAAATGGTAAGCAGTTGAATGCTGGATGAATTTTGAAAGTAGAGCTGATAGGGTTCACCCAAGGACTAACAAGAGTCAAGAATAACCCCAATATTTCTGACTTGAGCAATTAGAAGACAGGAGGCAACATTGGTGGCTACAAGAAATTTGCTTATGGGGTGGCTATCAGCAGCTCTAATTTAGAGATGTTAACATATTAGTTGTTAATAGATTAGGCCTACTAGACTTTCAAGTGAAAGGCCAAGACTGTCTAGAAAGAGGTCCAAACAACACATAAAAACCAAACCCACTGCCATCGAGTGGACTCTAACACATAGCAATCCTACATAAGGTTTCCAAGGCTGTTCATCTTTGTGGGATCAGATAGCCTCATCTTTCTCTCATGTAGCCTCTAGTGTGTTTAAATCTTTGACCCTGCAGTTAGGTCAACATGTAACATGCAGCACCTCCAGAGCTCCCTGAAGCAACATACCTGAAAAATCAAACTCAATGCCATAGTCAATGCCAGCTCACATCGACCCTATAGGATAGGATAGAACTGCCCCTGTTAAGTTTCCAAGACTAACACCTTTTTTTTTT